ACAAATTTTGTCGCCGATTGTAGTTTACACCAGGCACTCCACCCAAATAATTAGACACAAATAATCTAAATAGAACATAACAGGGTAAAAAAAAAGCAATTGGCAGAAGGCAATCAGTTGGTTCTTTCCAGCAGGCATGGTCGAAGGTTTGAACTCGGGACGACTGAGAACAAATACAACAAAATGGTCAGAACGGGACTCGAACCTGGGTGACCCAGATTTCGTGTCCGACGCGCTGACCACTCGCCCGTCGTCCGCGGGGTCCCCATTTGTACAACTGAGTGGAGAGGAATGTTCCTTGTTTACGATATTTTTTTCCATAAGTGAGCGAACGAATGGAAAATGCAACATCTAAATACACTTTTCTACCATACCCCCTTGCCACTATATTTAATGGGTGTGAGCACAAGAGAATACGAACTCTAATTGAGTCTTAGGGCGCAACTTTTATGTCAGTAGAGCTTATAACGTTTTTATTGTTTGTGTTTTTTCATCAGGTCCGACACCAGAGGAGCTGGCCGAAATGGAAAGAATTGAAACGGAGAAACGCGTATGTTGTTTTAAAAACTGTTTATGAAACCAATCAGCTAACGATTGTTGTGTGTTATGTATCGGTCAAATCGAAGCTTCAACATGCTCCCCCCCCCGGGCAACCCCCCGGGCATTTGACTTTTTTGAAAATTATTGTTCAAATTCCCCCCTACCCGGGCCAAAATGCCGTTCAAATGCCCCACACTAGAGTCCATTCAGGTGATCAAATGCCCCCACCCCGGGGACATTTCAAAGGAACAAAAATGACAGAAGGACGGCGGAAACGCCTTCAGTTGTCGAACAAAATCTTTATAAATATAACAAAAACTGAGAAACACTGTTAGCGTATTTACTACGAACAAAAAAACTCGTGCAAAGGGGCGGAAATCGCTGCTACAAGGTCACTGAATGCTCAGCTTTTCTTCATCATGCAACATACAAAGCGTTCTACAAAAAAAGATCCCACATATTGAGATTACTACATCATGACCATTTCACTGACATGCATCATCGCTCACCGTATAAATTAACATACTTGCAGTAGATCAAAGTAGTTGACCTGAGCTTTTTATTTTATTTTATTCTATGTTATGTTGTTGTATTGAATCGCTGGTATAGGTATTGTATTTCATTGTAAACACAACAATAACATACATTCATACATTCAAAGCCTGAATCCAATATTAAAAATTTTAAAATTTAAATACTTTAAAAACGGCACAAAGCTTGTTTAAGCCCTTCCCTTGTAACCAATTGGCCACAAAGGCACAATCTTTTCCACGAAAATCCTCTAACAGCGCGTCCCCCATGATAGCTCGCCACGCCAAAGATTTTACATGAAATCGAGGGTGCAGTTCAAATTCCCCACCCCTAAAGCATGGGGATCAAATTCCCCACCCCCTGGAAGACTCTGATAATCAAACTCCCTCCTCCCCGGGACGGCAAAAGTGTCAAATGCCTTGGGTATGCCCGGGGGGGGGGGGGGCATTTTGAACCTCCGATTTGCCCGGCAAATTACCAGTAAACCCCCTAATTTTTAGTTTAGTTTAATTTGTGTTTTAAAATTTTTTTCCCCCGCCTTAAAAAGAAACGAAAAAAAGGAGAAGGGCGCGAAACCGGGGGGGGGGGGGGGGGGCATGTTGAAGCTTCGATTTGACCGGCACATTAGCAGTATAACCTCTAAATTTTAGTGTAGTCTTAGTTGTGTTTTATAAATTTTGTCACGCAGCTTGAAAAAGAGCGGAAAGAACGAGAGGAGCGTGAAAAGAGAGACGCTGAAGAAGCTGCTGAGAGACAACGCAGAGAACAAGAATGGGTAAGAATGATCTGTAAAAAATGCCAAACACATAGACTCTAAAATGTCCTTAAGAACGAGACGAATTTTCACCGTGCGTCGGACTCGAAATCCGGCGGTTCCAGATTCAAGTCTCGCTGTTGCTGGTCATTAGCTGGGTTTGTCCTTTATCTTGGGTTCAAATCCTCGGCCATGCTTGTAAATAGCCACCTGTCAATAAGTAGGGCCACCCTCCTAGCTGGGCCAGCTTTTCTCCATATAAAACCTTCAGCTCGCCCGGCCGGCTCAACTCGTTCAAGGCGAGACGAGACAACCAGAGCATGCGCCAGCACTGTTGTCAGCTCTTGGCTTTTACTCTTGGCTTTAAGCCGTTGGCTAAGGCAAACTCGGGCAAGGCGAGACAATCAGAGCATGCGCGAGCGCTGTTGTCGGCTCTTGGCTCAGGCAAAGAGGTCAATTTTTTTTTCTCATATAACGCTCGCTTGAGTTGACTAGGCTAGAAGGGCGATCCTCTTTCCCATGACATTTTTTCTCCATAAAAAAGGGGCCTAAGGCAAGTGCGCTTCCACTTTAAACAAAACACTTAGACTTCTACTAACATTGTGGATTCCTTTTAGCGCATCCGACTGACTGAAGTCAAACGGCAGGAACAAGAGCTGTTAGAGAATCAGTCCATTCCACTTAGGAACTATCTGATGAAGCACGTGATGCCCACCCTCGCGCAGGGCCTTATTGAGTGCTGCAAGATGCGCCCTGATGACCCTGTGGATTATTTGGTGAGTTATCCCTCAAAAAAGGCGTAAGAACAACATGCATATAAAAGAATGTTATGTCAAATCGTTTATCCATGATATAGATCGTTTTCACATGACAATTTAGCGGCTATATTGGCGCAACAAAACAATGAAAAGGCCGCCATGTTGGTGTGCCAAAACGTCCTGTGGGAATTGAACGCTTTGCTCATGTTATGTGTTTTCTTATACCATGAGTACCGGAAGTTATTAGGGAGCTTGAGCAAAGACTTTTTTTAGCGCGGCGCGTCAACCGGGAGTGGACATTTTGAATTCTCGGGCAGTGGTTTTTACCAACATTTTCGGGCAAATTGTCTCTATAAGACTTGGGAAAAGGCCCTGACGTGAGTTGCTCAAAAACGCTCTCGTGTGTGCCAGAAGGCCGAAGCCACGAGCGGCGGGTAAATCTTGGCCGCAACCGGAAACGCGCAAGAAACGTCTATGGCACCTAGGGTATTTTTCTTATGTTCGTTCCAAAAAACTGCATAGCAAAGGTGGAAACGATTTATACTTAAGGAGCTCCGAAGAACCGGTTTAATAAGTTTTGGTGCTTTCATGGTAAGTTACTGGTCGTTTCGATACAAGTTTATTCAGTCGAGTTGTAAAAGGTTCACGCACTTGGCTTAAAGAACGAAGAATATTCATCCAAAATGTTTTCCCTTTTTACTTGCAAAATATACTTCAAGTGGCCGAAATTTTAGTGCAGTTTCACTGCTGGAGTTTGTATCGAAACGACCGGTTTCTCTCTTGGCAAGTTACACATCTTAACGAGTGAAAGTTGAAGGAAGGAGCCGGAACATGAAATAGCCGTAGAAAAACTGCTGCGATGAAGCTGACGCGTTTTCCGTTCTTTTTCAGGCCGAATATCTCTTCAAGAACAACCCGCAGATAGATTAAACGATGCGAAGAAGTGAAAAATTGTACATTTAGATATGTCACAGAAGCATGTTGTAAATATACTTGGTAACTGGTAACAGATATTTCAGTTACCTATGTAACCGTAGAAAAGTTATAACATTGGCGTCGTCGTACATTTCTTATATAAATAAATGTGAAAATAAAGTTAAACGTTTCAAGTAAAACCTGTCTGCAAGTTTGTCTGCAGGATGTGAAATCGTCGTAGAGGTGTGGATCTTACTTGAATTTCCAAGCTTTCTTGACTGAAAACCATTATATTTTTCCTTGCTGTCCTCAAAAACGTACCGCGCATTTCCATAGTAACATCCATTGTGACGTTGAAACTTGACACAGAAATCCTCCCAAGCGCGCGCTTCAGCGAAAGCCCAATTGACTGTGCAGGCAAACCGACAAATTCGTATACACATGCAATACTATGGGGCTACCAAGAGACAAAGCTCGCATTTTCATGAACTTAAGTCAAATTCCACTTCACGTTTGTGAGCACAAAAGAATCGTTGAATGCTAAGTTAGTCTATAAACGTGATCCACACTCCATAGTTTTTTGCAGTTGCAGTTCCAGTCCAATCCTCTTTAATAGAGAGATCATAAGATTCATGTTTATACACCAGACGGCAAACGTCAGATTCAAAAGTTGAGAATTTCTCAGAATAGAAAATAAGCAGACAAAAACTGTTCAGAACAATTCTTATGTATAAAGTTGTCGTTGAAACTACTTAATCTTAGTTGAAGTAATAAACAGTTAATGACCATTAAGGATAAACTTGGTCACGTGGTACAAATTCACGTTTGCCATTTGGCGTAGACGTGAATCTTAATCTTTCTAATAATGTCTGCAGGACGTAAAATGAACTCATTTGCTTCAACTACGTAAGCCCTGAGTAAGCGTTACCGTGCAGTCGGTTAAGGCTTTTTTTTATTATTATTATTTTCCCATCTTTTCCTTTGTGAGGAAAGTCTTGAATAAAAACAAGGGCGCACCCTGGACAGCAGGCGATTCTGCTGGTTGAATAGCCTGCCGATTTAGCAGAAAAAATAAGCGCTGATTCATCTTTCTTAATATATGCTAATTTTAAGTATAGGCTCAGTAATCGAAGGATTATATATGCTGTTCATTCAATGGTTGTCAAGGCCACGGACCTAAATACATCAATATAATACAAAAAGATAAAAGCTTATTCAATTAAAATAACAAAATAACGGCCCCCTAGCCAAGAAAAGCTTCAGGATTTAAGCAAACAAATGCCAAGCGGAACTTGTAAACCACGGTTCAGCACATATTGTTCCTGTTGTGTTTTGCACTCAAGTGACTGCGTGGACTTCTAGTGGTTGAATTAGGAAGTTGTAATGACCTGTAATGATATTGAAAGAGTTTATTAACGATCGCATGCGAGAAAGTTAGCGAAAAGAACTACGCAAATTCGTACTTCTATCAATCAACTGCAACATAGTTCACGCGCAGCGACATGGAAATTGATTTCAAGTCCCTTGCTACAGTCGAAGGAGCAGAGAATTATCAAGAAGCGGCCATAATTCTCGAAGGTCCTCCGATTGAGATATTTGCCCAACGAGCTGCTCCTACCATAGTACTGAAACCGCTGCGACAAACTCGGGGAAAGTTTTATTATGAGTGCAAAACAAATACAGGAGGATATATGCAGCTGGGCTGGGCAGATGAAAGCTTTAGAGCCATCGCCGATGAAGGAAAGGGTTGCGGTGATGATGAACATTCGTGGGCATACGATGGCATGAGACGATTAAAATGGCACAAGAATCACAAAGAGCAATATGGTCGTAAATGGAAAGCTGGTGATGTAATTTGCGTCGCCGTTGACTTGGAAAAAGGAGAGGTTATTTTTGGCTTAAACGGTGATTGGGAAGGAGATATGGGGCCCGCTTTCTCTGGAGTCTCATTGGACGGTGGTGTTTACCCATGCTTGTCCCTCATGAGAGGTGAAAGGGTCCAAATCAACCTAGGCACTAAAACAAACCCCTTTGTTTATCCCCCTCCAGATGGGTTCCTTCCTCTGACAGTCACTCAACCAGCGGAGACAGCTGAGTCTGAATACAATCGATTCTCTAGCTTTGCGCACGTGATTCCGATGGGCGTGTCAGAAAACAGCTTCACCTTGTCCTTTCCAGGTGAAATAATGGTGACAATGATGAGAAGGGGGCTCGAATACGAAGGCAAAAAGAATGCCCTCATTCACGCTGGCTATGAGGAAACTTTGAAGAAATGGGAAGAAAAGAAGGAGTTGATTCAAGCTGAATTAGGCCGTGCTGGTTTAACAAATGACGAAATCTTCGCGATCATTTGTTACACGCTTGAAAAGCCACCAGTGTATCGCCATTTCAATGGTGACACTAGGAAAGGATACACAGGGGACGGAATGGATTTTCCAATTTTATCTTACCTTCTTCGTGAAGCCTGCAGAAAAATTCTTGCAGCCACGCCCAAGGAGAACCGTACAAGAATCGTTTACAGAGGTGTATCTCTAAACTTCAGCGCAGAGCCTGGTAAAATAGTGAGGTTTGGCTCCTACACTTCCACAACAGGCAACATTACCGTAGCAGAAAATTTTCAGAAAAATTCCAACGGGACTCAGTTCGTTATTGTCACAAAAATTGGCGCTTCAATTAAAATGTTGTCAGCTTTTCCCGAGGAAGACGAGATCCTAATTCCACCATATGAAGTATTTAAAGTTCACAGAACGGAGGAAAACCCCTCTAGAATTTACTTAGCGAGTTGTTTTGACGATTCGTTTGTGGACAGGTATACCGCTGACGGTAATGCAGTTAATGAGGCAGTTGCATTAGTAAAAAAGTTGACGGAATAAACAATGAATTTTAAGTCTCAAGACCTTCATCATCTAATTAACCTACAGTTTTGAGTAACGCTTTGTGTAACGTTTTCCGCACTTGTTCAAGTTGCCCTTGATTAAGGGGTTTAAGGCCTGGGTCAAAGGTGTGTTCAGAGCATATGAAAAACTATTGACGAACACTTACCGAAACCATTTTTCAAGGTCATACGAATATCGCTCTAATTCGTACGTTTAGGTGCAGGTGTGCCATTTACATTCGTTCATACCTATCCATTGCTCCAATCTTCCCATCATCTATAGCACCTAACAATCATCCGCGTTGCGAGCGCTTCAGAACAAGTCGATCTTAATTTTTCTACACTATACTACACGGGTGCTGACAAATTTTTGTCAAGTACAAAAAGCTTGGCTCCACCAACATCTGCGTGGTCATTACCCTAATAGTTAAACCAAACGCCTATAAACCGGAGCAGGTAACTCCTCTCTTTACAGACCAGTTTTAGTTTAGCCTCAGTTTTCGGGCGAAAATTGAAGCTGAGGTCCGTATGTCGGATCTAGGATAAATACTGACCGATTTCCTAAAGAGCACCGAAGGCACAAGCTTCTAGTGGGGTCCGGGGGCATGCCCCCATGGGAAATTTTTCGCTTTTAACTTCCCAGAGTCCCCTTTCCTGGGTTTCTGAGTCATTCAGACAGGATATTGACCAGTTCCTTCTCCTCGGATGAAGCCTTGCAACTTGGAAAGTTTTCTCTTAAATGTATCTATTATGAAAAATCTAACCGATTTCCGTAAAACGGTGGAAACCGGTGTTGATCCGCGGCTGTGCGCATTCGTAGTGCAAAAAAAATTTTTTTTTTTAAAAAAAACTAATGTCATTAAAACGTCAAAATTTTATCCTCCGTTATTTTTACTGACTGGTTTGTGGGAACTTATGCGATAGTCTAACGTACGGTGGAGCAAAATCGACTGTAACAAGGGTCAATAGTCGTGAGAATAAACTTGTCTGTCAAACGCCTTGTCTACTCACAGAAGAGGTGTTTGCTCCCGATATGCCATTATGGGCTTTCTTTCCCTGCAATACCCTGTAAAATGTTGGGTTTTTATAAATCCGTAACATATAAACCCAAGACTGATGGTATGTATAAATCAGTGTTATAACTTTGCACTCACACCTAATACTAGCAGCTGTAGAGAGCTGTCTTGTTCTAAACTTTTGGGTTTTTCTTGGCAACTGTGCTGTGCGTGAGTATTGTTCAGTATTTTCAATCTTTTTTCCTCTGCGTCATTTACAGATGGTAATTACATCCGGAACATTGGAAAACCATATTTTACATCTTGTCTTTGTAAGGTATTTGTATTATTGTCTTTACCCTGGCTCCAGAGGTCCGTTCTCGAAATACTTGGGAAGAAATAACCCGTGGGCACCTTTGAACTAAGCTCCACTGAACTATCAGAAATTAGTAAAGAAAAAAAATCTGACTCTCCTGTTCGTATCCTCTCCCAGGCGGCTGCCCGTTGACCAAAAAGCCTGAGGAGGCTGGTACGACAAAGCTGCACCCTGGTATCATACAAAGAAATTGAAGTCGTTTTTTTCAAATTGATCGGAAAAAAGAATGATTTCCATCTTTCATGGTTAAAGAGCAATGAATTTTTTTATCTATAATTACGCTAATATAAAAATGTGTTACGAAGCGGAAGGACGTGAATGTAAAACTTTACAAAAAGCGCTCATATGTGACCATTTGTGATATTATGATTCATGGCTGGAGAATGAATCAGAAAGTAAAAAGAAAATCTTAACATCACGGAATTGCCTTTGACAATGTTATTTATCAGATCAGATGTGATACGAAAAAATTCAAATCGATTAACCGTTTCTAAAGTCTATATAGAAATAGTAAATTATCGCAATAACCAAATATTTTTCTGGTTAATGCAATGACAAACGTGTGTATATTGGTCTATACCGAACGAATTCGTCAAATTTGCCGACGTGTTTCCGAACACCTCTCCGTCGGGTCACGAGATCCGAGTCCAGTTTGCCACGTCGTCCTCTGATACATGACGTCATGAGGTGCAGCAATTGCTTCCATCCCCCTCTAAGGATTATTGTTAGCACCACGCCAAGCTGAGCTCAGTGGCTCGCTTCCTCTTTTAACGAAAAAGCAAATTATTTGCCGGTATTTGTACATTATTTCATTTAGAATTTAGCTTGACAGTGAGCTAAATCTGCGAGCAGTTTAACTGGGAGCGAGACAGCCTAACATGTCCACTATGAATCCCGAATAGTAGGTTGAGATTATGGTGTCCTCGATTTTTTCCCTCTGGCAGGGTTTCGAGTTAAACCGGGATGATTCTACGTGTCATTTGGAATTTCGCTTTTACGGAACGCTTTTCTTTTTCTGTTTTATTTACAGTGATTACCTTTTCAAGCTTCTACTTATCGGAGACTCTGGTGTTGGAAAATCATGCTTGTTACTTCGGTTCGCGGTTGGTATCTTTGTATTTTCCTGTTCTTTTGACGAGTATTGCCTAATATGTTGGTTGGATTTCGATCGAGGATGAGATGTCTGACCGGTAACCGGTTCTCATTTTATTTAAGTCAGTGTTAACCGTCGCTATTTTCTCCATCATTTTAGGACGACACTTATACAGAGAGCTACATCAGTACAATCGGAGTGGACTTTGTAAGTTGGTTTAAAATAGGCTTACCTTTCCGTTTTTGCTTTTTGGACTAGCCTCCTAGCTTGCGTAGGTCGGTCGCAAAGAAGGCTACATTATGTTAATTTTAAGTTGATTTTCTTGTTTTTTCCCTGTTAGAAAATACGAACCATAGAATTGGACGGCAAGACAATAAAGCTACAAATTGTAAGTACCCATAATGTCGCTAATGTGTGAACAATTGTAAAGTTTGCAGAATTGCAAGGTCAAATTGATCACAAAAGCATCAAAGTCACCAATTACGTTGTTGGATCACAATGTTACTTTGCTCCGGTGTAAATTACGATTTTTTATTATTTTGAATTGATGGTCATTGGCTTTGTTTTATTACAGTGGGACACGGCAGGCCAAGAAAGGTTCCGAACAATTACATCAAGCTACTATCGCGGAGCTCATGGAATTATAGTAGTTTACGATGTTACGGACCAGGTATAAATTAGATATTTCTGACTTCACTTATGCCATAATATATTTGTTATTGAAGTTTGGAAGTCGTAACAACAGTTATTGTGTTTAGTACTTCCTATAACTGCACTTTCTGCAGTCACGTTTCGTAGAACGGTTCCTGAACTTTGGTTTGCCTGCAAATACATCCCTTCTGACCGTTTTAGATAAAAATAATTTTTTGTTGTGGAACGAATCAGTTCATAATGTAGAGACATAATCGATGCAGTCCCGTCACGTTTATCCATGTGGACCAAAGTTCAGGATTAAGGAAATCCATCATAAGGGGTCAGAGTCCCTCCTACTTTTCATTTGGCTGTCTCATTTTATAGTTACTTCATTCACTGGATTGCTCAAAAAATGCCAGAATATTTTAATTTCCACTGTTTTGTTATGTCATCAAATTAATGTTAACCCTTCACCCACCTGGAGTGATTAGTTTTGTACATCAGGCCACTTCATGCAAATGTCAAGAAGCAGTGCATTAATGTAGAAGAAGTGACCTAAGATAATGGCCATTTTTTACAAAGCTTGACTGCTAATATGATAAAGAGTAAATTAAACCTTCTGTTTTCACCCAAAATAAAAAAGAAGATACAAAGGTGTTTTAAGTTGCAGTAGATCTTAGCTAGGATTTCAAGTCTAAAAAATTTGAAGCCAGGACTACAATCTTGGACACAATAATAGTTGATGGCGCAAACCCCTTTCCCCTGAAATTAATGGTGATGGTTTGCAAAGGCCAAAATGTGATTTTTTTCCAACTTATTTTGTCCAAGGTATGTGGCTTACACGGTAAAGAAATTTAACTTTAATAGTGTTTGCTCAGTGGAGGGGTCATTTTCCAGGACCTTACAGAGTCTACTGCAGAAGATTAATGAAATAAACTTAATGATTTGCATTCCTTTTTCACAGCCTCTCTTGTTTTCTTATTAGCTGTAACAATGGCGTGTTCCCATTCCAAGCGGTTTCCATTTTTGACAAAAAGTATCAAACATATGAATATTTAAGTTGTTGTTGGATGTCTTTGTTGCAGGAGTCCTTTAACAATGTCAAGCAGTGGTTACAAGAAATTGACCGGTATGCATGTGAGAATGTTAATAAACTACTCGTTGGGAACAAGTGTGATCTTACAACAAAGAAAGTAGTGGATTTTACAACAGCAAAGGTATTTATTCAGAATAGAAAAAAAAATTATTGTTTTAATTTTAACAATGTGTGGTTGGCAAAGTTGGGGCATTCACAGTTGTTTTTTTTAATTATTGACATTTACAGTTAAGTTTTGGGGTACTGTTTTGTTTTAGTAGTTTTGAAGCACTGTTTATTCCTGGAAATTTTCTCAGAGAAAATTTTTTGAAGAAAGAACAATTTTTTTTGCAGAAGGAAAATAATTGGAGTTCTTGTTTAGTTACCTTAACACTTTTAAATAAAGGAGAAGACAACAACAGAAGTGTAAAAGTGATGTGCACTGCATTCCCAAATATCCTCCTCTTTCACCTCATATGAAGCAAAAAATATGTGGAATTATCAACTGAGTTGATAACCGTCCACTTTAAAACGATTCAGAAGCTGATGTTTTGAGCACCAACCTGCTGTCAGAGTGAATTGTTTTACTGTCTGAAGCAGCACCATGGTTAATCTTAAGAAGGCAACCCCTCCCTTTCATTTTGAACCCACTGCAGTTTCTTTATTTCTGCCTTTCCTAAGAAATTATATGCTTTTCCCTGGCTTTAGGAATATGCAGACTCACTGGGAATTCCATTTTTGGAAACAAGTGCAAAGAATGCCACAAATGTGGAGCAAGCTTTTATGACAATGGCTGCAGAAATAAAGAATCGCATGGGACCCGCACCAGCCCAGCCCGGAACTAGTAATGTCAAAATCAATTCTAGTACGCCAGTAAAGCAAGGAGGTGGAGGATGCTGTTAGTAGCAAATTAAAGACATTGGACTACAAACCGTTTGGTTTGAGTTACTTAACACACGTACCGAAAATGATAATGGGCGCCTATTTTATGCATCTTTCCTCACTTTGAATACAACACAGACTTTTTCTTGGAAAGAGGTATAAATAGAATTGAAAATGATTGAGGTATTGATGACTGTTGTTCCCCTTACCTTGACCAACTGATGCAGCATATTTAGATGAAAAATTATAGAGCTTTCCTTCTCTTACTATTTTCTTCAATAACATCCATTTCTCCCCTTTTAAATAAATGTAGAGACTGGATTTTTGAACAAACTCAAGTAAACTGGTACAAAAATATTGCATGGTAATGAAAACACTGACGGTTTAGAGTGTACAATAGAGTGTACTGTATTCCAAAGACATAAAAATAAAAATATTGTTTAATTGAGAGTCTGTTGATTAAAATCACACCTTGCATCTTAATTCATTTGTATTTATATTATGGAATTGAACTGCTTGTAGCTGTTGAAAATCTGTGGGAGATTATTCAGACATAGCATGATTAGAGACCAGAGGTTGTTGTTTTGTTATGGAAAAGGCATAGTTTTATACACCATGTAAGAATTTCTCTAGACGTTAAAGTTAAGTTCCATTCAGTCAATTTGTAATGTTATTAACCACTCTCTTGTAAAGTGTCTTGAGTCCCAGCTAAGCAAACATTTTCACCCTGCAACTTCTTGTTGGAGGAAGTTTTGCCATCAGGCAGTGTCTCTTCCTTGTGTGGTTGAGATGGGACATTTTTAACAAACATGAGAAACAGATTTTCAAGAACCTCTTCCAACTATGTTTGCGCCTAGAATGTTTTAATACACCCCTGCTTGTTATTTTGGCATTTCAGGGGATACACCTTCAAAGACTACATGTGAGTGCACATAGTTTGATTTGTGCCCAAGTCATTGTCATTATTCATTACTTGTGTCACAAAGATGAAAATGTCTTACATTTTTAGCTGAGGCTCAAGACTAAAATTTAAAGACAAAACCATGCTATTAAATTACAGCTTGGCTTTAAAGCATTTACCTTCTTGGGGATGAACCATTTTGAGAAAATTTCCATTACTCTTTTGGTAGGTGGGTTTTTTGCACTATTTTTATGTTATAAAAATTAACCTTTGAATTTTCTGGTAATATCATATTAAGTATTTTAAAATTAGGGATCCACAACCCTGGAGAACACTGCATTACAATTTCAACATTGGTATATAGTTTCACACATCTTGCTAAAAGAAGTTTTGAAAAACTATTCCTTTTAACTATGTGCTTAATGATGTACTTGTTCTGAAAGTCTGCCTTTTTATCATTTCTCTTTTGGTTGTCCAAATAGAGGTGATAAATTGTTAAATTGGCACAGGTATCCAGAGCTGCAAGTAAGAAGTCGACATCAGACTATGTCAGAGTAAATTTGCCTGTGTCTGAATATTACTGCTGCTGTATGTAATGACAAGACAAAACAGATTTTAAGTCTTTCTTAAATTTAGCTGAAGAGTTGCTTAGGAATTAAAGAAATTACCAGTCATCAAAATGTATGTGAAACAACTTTCTTGGTTTGTCTAAAATCATGTCTCCTTCTGATTTACATCCTTTGTAAAAAGAAAAGTTATTTTGCAGGCCAGGGTATTGGAAATGTGGGATGGTATGTTAAATAGATATTGTCAGGGTTTTAGCCACAAAGTTCTGACAGGGCACCCACCTTAACTCTGTAGCCAGCAAGTCTAAAAGCATGGAGTAAAAATATTTTTCTCTAATAACTGCACCCACTGGCCACTCAGATGCCCTTCTCATGAAATCCTTATTAATTTTTGTTGTTGCTATTTGTTTATCCCTATAAAACAAAGCGACTGTGACTCTCCTTTACAATAATCAGAAAAAAGCTTTGATATGTGTGAAACCCAAACTGACTGAGACAGCCGGACATCATTTTATTTACACTAAAGTGGATAGTTTAAATTCATACAATTATGTAATTTTGCAAGCAAAATATTCTCATTTTGTTGTAATCATAGTTATCTTCAATAAAATGTGTGACTATAATACTATTGTTGCCTTAACAAGATTAAGTGTCTCAAACTTAAAATCCTTTAAAATTTACATTTTTATTGATAGTGGTGAAACGAAGATGTAAATAAAATAAAAAGATAAAAATAACAAATATCTATTATTATTGAGTGTGAAAGGCGTTTGAAATATTATTGTAGATCTATGAAACCTGGATGTAGGGAATTTACATGTACGCTAAAACATAGGCAGGAATCAAAATTTTTGTTTTTAATTCAGTAATAACATTTTTGTCAACCTCATCGTTTGTAATACTGTATTTACTCGATTAGATGCCGCCCTCGATTTATGCTGCTGATCAATGTAAAATAATCACTAACAAATGCCGCCCTTGAATACATGCCCCTCCCAATAATTATTAGAAAAATGCATCATTTAGGGAAAGTTCATTTAATATGACAAGGGGGGGGGGGGATGAAGATATTGAAACTCGAAGCTTGAAATTTTAGCAGCCCCCCTCGCTAGCGGTTCAATTTTTTAGGAGCCCCCTCCTTGGTAGTCGAAAAAATTTCAGAGCCCCCCCCCCC